TATTGTCTGTGTGTCCCTGGATACAGAATTCAGCTTTACCTGTTTTTGCTGTAAATGCAATTATACCGTATGTATTATTTTGTGATTTTTGTTCATCATAGTAATTTTCATCCAAGTTGTGTGTAACTGTAGTTCTTTCAGTTCCAGTGGTTTTTAGTATTTTATTCCATGAGCATCTGCACGTCATTTATCCATTTTAGTAATGTTGGACTTTTGTCATGTTTCCAGTGTGGAGACTTTACAAATAATGCTCCTATAAACATTATTGTATGTGTCTCCTGGGGTGTGTGTGCAAGAACCTTTCTAGGATATATGCCTGAGAGTGGAATTGCTTGGTGGTAGCCTATGTATATATTCTACTTAACTGGATAATGCCAAACTATCTTCCACAGGGGTTATACCAACTTACATTCTCACTACAGTATACAAGAGTTTCCATTTGCTCTACTTGTTACTAGTTGCTTTTTGCAAGAGAATGAGGTTGGCAAAATGTTACTAATGATTTTGGTTGTGGGATTATAGGTGATTTTTATATTTTTAATGCTTACCCCTTCAGCTACTACTGCATTTCTTTCATTCATTCGTACAGAAAACTCCTTGCAAGGATTATTTATACTTACCATATTTAATTTTTTCTCTTGATCACAATTCAGACAGGCACTCCACTTAGCACTCCACTAAAACTGCTCACATCCTGATCATCCGTGGTCATTTCATTGATCAGTCCTCATCTCATTTGGCTTAGCAGTAGCACTTGGCACAATGAATTATTCTCTACTCCTGAAAACAGTCTTCAGTTGGCTTGAGGAAACCACACTGAATAGATTTTCTTATAGGTTGCTTCTTTTCATTTTATATAGCATTTGATACTTTGATTACTTATTCCCTTCATCATTTCTCCCCCAAGTATTTATTTAAAAAATGTTAAACCTACAGAAAAGTTAAAACATTATCCCCATAATTTTTCATGAATTTCCTGATTATAAAAGTAATACAAGTTTTGATGATCATACACTATGGTTATAGAAATGTCATTGTTGGAGGAACATGTTTGAATGTTTATTTACCTCATCTCTTACCACTTCTCTTCTGGCTACTTACAGTTTTAAAAAATATATCATGCTCTCTCTCCTGGTTTGTTCTACATGCTTTTCCATTTTTTTAAACAGTTTCTTTCCATTTTTTTCCCCATCCATGACTAACTTGTTATATCTTTTAGGATTCATTTTAAGTATAACTTCCTCAGTGGTTGGCCAGACATGATTTGGCTTCCCCTTCCATATACCTTACACATACCCCACATCACACATCCCTCTCTACTCTTTATTTCATTGTCGTTCAGAAGCACTCTTTCTTTCTAGTTTTCTCTCTCTACTGGAATTGCTTACTTACCTATCTCCTCCAGCAGATTATGATCCTTGAGGTTCTATGTCCTATTCATCATTTAATGTTTAGTACAATGCTTAATACTTGGTTGGAATTCAGATAATATTTAGTAAATTTGAGAACCAAGGTAACCCAATTAGCCATAATAGGAAGAGAAGAGCCTTATATAGGCTCAGCCTCTGGAGACAGTGAGTAAAGTTCGAGTGTAGAGCAGAATTTTTGTGAAAGAGGATATTGTATAGACATCAGAGGAAGTGAGAAACATGTCAGCAAGCCAGAGGTTACCAATAATTTTCTTGTAGCAGCAAGGAATTTCTAGTTACAATGGCTTGATTAACTTTTGTCTGTCATCTGTACTGAAAGCTGCCTGACAGACATACAGTGTTTTACCAACCAGATAGAAACAAGTACAGTGGGTTCATTATGTTTGAATGTTTATTTGCATGTTATTTTTTGAATACTTGATTCCATTTTCATTTTTTAACAAACTACCCAAATCTGGCAGGTGTTTGAAACCTTCAGCTTTTGGGTGCGTGAATAAAGGAACAGTTTTAAGTCAAGGGTCTTCATATGAGTCATGGAATTGTTATGAAACGTCAGAGGAGCAGAGCTGGTCAGTAGAAAGATGGAGACAGATTTAAAAGCCAAAAATTTTTAAGGAACTTAAGCAGTGGAACCTAGAAAGGCATTAGGTGGAAATAAGGTTTCTTTGTCTATAAGTGTATTAAATGAAAATATAGGGTTTTGAGTCACATTTTAAAGCATTTTTAAAATTTTGCTGAATGTTAAAAGCATTTTTTCTATAGCATGACCATAAAAATTTATAACATGAGACAAATATAACTTCTACATGAACTATTATAATTTCAGTGTGAAACAATCGAACTACATTTCAAACGGGAAGTAACATTGATAGGGAGCAGTCATGTGAAACTGTGTTCAAAAGAAAAAGCCCGTGTTTCAAGTCTTTTATTCTGAATATTGTTCTCTATATACGAGTGTTAATTTTAAAATTGTTTTCAGATCCAACTAAAGTTCAATTTAGAAATATAATTCATATATTTGCTCTCTTGGATGAAGCTTTAAGCACGTTTCTAATAATTCAGTTAAAATATGTTGAGTTGTATGTTTTTAATGAGAATCTGTTTTGAAAAGATTCCACAATATTTGTTTGAACAGGCACATAGCATCTTGATGAAAACTGTTGGAAAAGAAAAACTTTCAGAGTCATTCTGCTCTCAGAGTACCCAAGCCAACCAAACTGGTGCAGTTAACACTTCTGTAAGAGGCCAGGAACCAAGAAATAGAGCGCTTCCTGGACTGCCTTTTGGCAGGCCTTCAAGCCAACTTAGTGGTTGATATTAATACCATTGAATTTTCAGAGTAATAATCTACAAGTAGAACATCTACATCTCTTTCTATCAAATCATACTTAGTCTCATTAGTAATCGATTAGTTTCTATCTCTGCTTCACGTTGGCATTAAAGCTGTAATTCTTGAATTCTGTCGGGCATCATTCTTGCAAAACAAGAAGGGAATGTCCTGTAGCGTGTGACCCTAGATATGATTAAATTATCTCCTGAACATAAATATTTTTATATTGCTTTTTAGTACTACTGAGTGTCACAGCAGAGATATAAATTATATAGAACACCATAATGCTTTGGGAGGTTTGGTAGTTACCCCAAGCTACCAAATTTATAAGTAGGGATAGTTTATTCTGTCTCTGCCCTTTCATTTTTATTTTATCCACTTGAGATTTACTGACATTATTTAATTCATTTAGCAATTATATGCTTATAGTATAGTCATGTTGATCTCCATATCCACATATTTTCTCTAATAAATGTTCTACCTAGATATTTGTTGGATTAAACTAGAAAATGCCTACCATATTTATGGTGGAGAGTAAATAATAACAGAAAGATTCAAGGATTCAGTATGCTAACTAGAGAGACAAGACTAAATTTAACATCTATACTACCATTTCTCTAATAACAGAGTTAGTTGGAAAAATAACAGAAACTAAAATTTCAGTCACTCAGTTTTTCAAGTGCTTCCCACAAGATTAGATTAACATTGTCTACAGAAATGATTATCATACTTTAATACATTTTAAGCTTCTTTCAGAACTGTGTAGAGGAGTAATATGGAACCAATGATAAATTTCCTGGCCTTTTTTCCCTTCATTATTTGGATGTGTATAATCCAAAATAGCCAATTATATACATTTTGAGGTACAGAATCATTTCTGACAAGGGATCTGAGAATCAGCAGGGGTATGTAGTCCTTCCATGCCACTCTGCCTGGTCTTTCTGTTTTGGATAGTGTGTTACTGGAAGGTTAGAAAGCAAATGGAGGGAGTTTCAGTTAGGAACCGAAGGGATTAATAACTGAAAATGATGATTGAAAACCAGAATCTGCAGTTGATTGGGACACAGGTATGAGAAGGAAGCATATACATAAATAGCATAATAGGGTATATCACTGGAATCCAAGAAAAGTACAATAAGGCTAAAATATCTCTAGTGTCTTGATGTTCCATTTCATAGTACTTTGGATAAACTGCACAAGGGACATGGTTGAGATCACTAATCCTTAGAACATGAACCAAGAAATAGGAATTCTATTTATCATAGGAAGTAATTTTGACCCATAAAGAAGAAATAGACACTCTTTAGTAGAGGAACATTTTTCTCTATGTTTTCTTTGATTTAGTGCCAAAAGCTTTTTGAGAGAATATTTAAAGTTGTGTCTTTTATTGTTGAAAATTGACAGCTGCTATATTTCTTTTAAATAACTGATTGAAGCTCTTTCTGTTGCATCTCCTTTATTGCTAAATTCCTTAAGTTTAAAAAAAGTGTGTTTAAAATTATAGTATTGTGGGATAAAAGCTTTATTCTGTGGATTAAATAATACTTCTTTTGTGACATTTTCTTTTCTCACTAAAAGTGAGAAGTAAATGCCTTGCCTTGGTACATCCCATTTCTAATGTAGGACAAGAAGTTATTTTCTTCAATGACTGACTTCCAGAATTTCTGGCTGAATATTCATTGTCAAGTGTATATTCCCTTCCCTAGGCCATTCTATATAGAGCCCACAAACATCGTCAGTGTGAATGAAGTCATTCAGAAGGTTAGCGACCATGCCTCTGCCATGAACAAGAGGATTCATTACTACAGCCGGCTCACCGCTCCTGCAGACAAGGCACTGGTAAGGGGCAAAGCATTACTACTTATCTGAGGTTAAGTTGAAATGAGCAGTGAACAGCATGAGCCAGGGTAACTCCCAGAAGTTGAACTATTTGCTGGCCATGTTCCAAGGATGATGGCATCGTGGAAAGTCAAAGACAGTAATACATGTCCTACTTTTCAGGTTAGTCCATTCTTACCTAGGCTAGCATAGAGAGATTTGAAATAATCTCTCTATGTTGAAAACAAATCTAGAAATTTGTTGGATTAAATTCTGCTAATCCCAATCCTAAAAGCTTTGAGGAAGATAAACTACTTTTGAAGTAGTTTAGGTCATTGATTAATATAAATAATAATAGGTTCTGGTTAGTCTGTTCAATTTTTAAGTTTGAAACTACAAGGGAAAAATGAAGGAATTTTCTTCAGGAGTAGTAAACTAAGATATACATATATGTATGTATATGTGTGTGTGTGTGTGTCTGTGTATACATACAAATAATATTTTCCTATTTAGCAATGTCCTTTTGTATATCAAAAACAAGAGACAAAGGGTAGATACTAAACATTCTAGGCTTTGCAGGCTACAGATTATTATTACATATTATTACATATTATTCTTCACTTTTGTTTTATACATTAAAAATATAAAAATCATTCTTAGCAGAGGGACTTTAAAAAATCAGGTTGGAGGCCAGATTTGGCCCACAGGCAATAGTTGGCTGACTCTTGATCTTCTAAAATCTGTATTATTATTTTAGGATCAAAAATATTATAAGTAATTTGGTTGCTTATAAAATTATCACATATGAGATATTCAGAAACTTGAAAGCATAAAGAACAATGGAAACCTTCTGGAGAAAAGATAATCACTTTCTTATAGGTAATAATAAAAAGGGAAACGGGAACCAACATTCTTTAGATATTTACTAAGGAGGCAAGGATTGCACTAGTCACTTGAACATAGATATCTCATTTTAAGCAACATGAAGTATAAAGATCTTCTTTCATATAGCCCAAGAAGGGACTTCCAAAATATTCTGGGTGGGATAATTATTTCACCAGTTTTTTTCACTTTTTCCTCCCTTAGGCCTTTACATTGGTAGTTGTAGTTTAGTCTTAGTTTCATAACAATTATCTAAGCCCTCTGGGAGTTAGAAGTAATCCAGTATCTTCAGACCCAGTTTAGATCTAGAGGCTCTCTCTGCTTATGGAAGCAAACTTCAGAGATACCCGCTGGGCCAGTCTAGGCCTGATTGCATGGTATTTGCCTGAAATATAAGTCAGCTTTGTACCCCAAGCTCAATCCCTTTTTGTTTGAATCCCTTTTGTTAACTGACTGTGAGATGACACTAGTATATCAAAGCATATAAACAGCGATCTAAAATTAACAATGTGATATGAATATGCTTATACATCCACATCATTTTTTGAGAGTCCCAAAATTATTATTATTTTTTTAAAAAAAAGATTTTTAAGGGAAGAACAAATGGAACTGCTGATCTCAGGTCTTTACAGAGTAATACCTTTTTACTTCTAAAAATTTCCCTATTTACCTTAATATTTTTATTCTAAAATGGGGAAGGGAAGAAAATTATTTGGCTGCCAACGTCTCATAGATCTTTGCTAATAAAAGTGTGTCCTGCATAGCCAGCAGTATCAGCATCACTGAGAGCTTGTTAAAAATGCAGAATCTCAGTTCTTTCTTCATACCTACTGAATCAAAATCTGTATTTTAACAAGATCCATGAGTAAATCAAAGGAAACTTCAAGTTTGAAGAACACTGCTCTAGACCACTGTCAGAATGTGGGATTCAATCCTCCAATTTTTCTGTATCTCTTAAGAATTTGCCACTTCTTATCCTCCAGCTTCTAGTCCTACCTCTCATAACTTTTGATTTTCACTTTTTCTGAACTTGCTTTGGTAGCTATCATGGTTTATCATGGCATAACATTTGAGACATCTTTTACCCACAAGATACCACCAATCATATGCATAAAGAGAGAAGGATTTAACAAGTTTTCTTTTGTGGACCAGTCCATATCCTGTCTACGTACTGAGACCTAATGTTCCATCACTTCCTTGAAGTCTTCTCCAACTGTTCCAGTCCCATTATTTTTTTCATCATTCTTGTGATATGGTATACCACAGAGTTGAACACCTAATTTTTATTCCGTCTTATAGCCCTGTCTAATTGTTTCATGTGTCTTCCAATTAGAATTTAAACTTCTTTAAATTAGGGGCTGTATATTATTGTATTTCTTGAATGCTAAACCTGGCAGAGTTGTAGATTTGTGTGGTAGGTACTAAATATAAAAGATTGTGATTTATGTGAGTGATCTCCTATGTCTTTAACTACTGTATGTAGGGACTACATATTTTCAAAGTAACTATTCTCAGGGAAATGGGCAGAATTCCATCAGGAGACTATATTTTTTCCCTTCAAAATAGGGAGATAGAATTAGAAAGAAATATATGGAGGGGAGATGGAAGCTATGCATAGAAGAAACATGTATCTATTTAGTCGTTCTCTCTCTATATATGTCCTCAGCTTCTATTGGCTTCTTCTCTTTCGTTTACATCTTCCATCTTTAATAATCCTTCTGTGCCTTTTCCTTTGGCCACTTTAGCTCACCTTTTTCTTCTACCAAAGCATTTAAAAAGAATAGTCTACGTTTATTATTCCTTCCTTTACCTCATATTGACTCCTTACTTCTTTATTGTTTGAGTTCCCTGCCTGCCTCTGCTAAAACCACCAGCGCTTAGGAGTTCCGTGACCACTTGGTTCTTGAAATTCCCCAAGTCTCCTCCATCTAGAATTCCTTAATCTCAGTCTTTGCTGGCTCTTCTTCCTCCTTTCTCATAAAAATGAAAAGAAAAATATTTTGATAGTTGCATATTCTAGGAATTCATTCTCATTTCAGATGAACAGTTGATTGTTTATAGTCCTTAAATTCTTGCTCCTTTAGATCTTCTACTACATTTAAAAAACAATTTTAATATTTGTTAATCAGGGATGCATACTGTTATTTCTTCATGATATTTAGAAATACGTCTAGAGTCCGGTACTCAGATATGTAGAAAATATCCTATTTTGCACGTTTACAGGTTCTAAAATTCTTTGTTTCTTTTTTCTTTCTTTCTTTCTTTTTTTTTTTTTTTTACCAGATTGCCCCAGATCATGTAGTTCCAGCTCCAGAAGAGTGCTATGTATATAGTCCATTGGGTTCTGCTTATAAACTTCAAGGTTATGCTGAAGGATATGGTAAAAATACCAGTTTAGTAACCATGTGAGTAAAACTACTTTGGGGAGTATAACTTAAACTATATGTAAATGAATATTACTGATTATTTTAATTTTTGTCTTAATGAAAATGTTTAAAGAGTCAAACTTTATATTTTTACTGCTATTGCTCTGTGTTTTCAGTTTTATGATTTGGAATACCATGATGGGAACATCTATACTAAGTATTCCTTGGGGCATAAAACAGGTAATATAAGTTCTCAGCATATTTTTCCCTGAACTTTTTTCTTTTTATGTTGTGAGTCTTATAAGACATTTTAATAAATCTACATAAAATTCATTAAAGAAAATAGATGATTATATTTATATTAGTTGTCGGGTTTTTATCATAATTGTTTAGGGTAGCATAATATGATACATGTGAGTTTATTCTAACATGATGATATATGTTGTTCTATATTTTTATTTTTAAACAGGCTGGATTTACTACTGGAATGTGTATCATCATGCTGATGGGCCTTTTAACACTTTATTGCTGCTACAGAGTAGTAAAATCACGAGCTATGATATGTAAGAATTTGCTACAGTGGAAATGAATTAATATTAATAAGTATTTCCTGTTGAGGTAGAGCACTAATGTGTACATTCCTCGTGTGTGTTAACTATCTATTTTGTTCCTGAAGATTTACTTCTCTATTTCATAGCATTAGGCTGAACTGATAATGACTGCCTTTGAAGTTCAGAGAGGCTGGGAGTTCTTTGCAGAATGCACTCACTTTGGTGTTAATTTTCTCATAAGAATAATTTTTAAAAGTCATTTTTAAATTAAGGCCTTTGCTAGAACTAAATTGAGAATTTATGATTCTTACCCGTTAATGGTGGCTTGTTTTAACCTATCCTTACTCAAAGGCCTAAATGTTGGAATCTCCTAAAAGTAGAAATTATAACTAGAAAAATATGAAAAAGTGTACTGAATTCTCAAAATTGTGCCAACATATATCCTCCACTCATCTCTATAAATTCTGGATCAGAGAAATACCTTTTTAGATTGTTTTAAAATAGTTTAGAACTTAAATAGACATATATTATCTAATTGAATCCTAGCAAGTGTAAATCAACAGACCAGGCTTAGCCTTCAGTTTTTTTCTGTCTCTACTAAGCAGTGGTATATTTCCTCTTAATTGTATTATTTATTTATTTCCTTTTCCTTTTATTTACAAGTCCCTTGATGCTCTTATAGACCTTCTAATTTCTTTATATGATGTAGGCATTAACTCTTTATCTATCATTTCTAGTCATTTTCTTTCCCATGCAATATTTGAATGGCTTTTGTATTATATGAGTTTGTTTATATTTGCCTACCTTTTCCACTGTAGTTCAGTTGATAGAAAAAAAATAACCTTTTAGGTTCCAATTTTACACTGTCTTTAACTTTTCTGTTACTTAATTTTTAAATTCTTAATTCAATTGTCTAAAATTTAAATTGGCACATGGTATAAAGTATGACTCAAGAAAACTTTTCTCCATATCGTTACTTAAATATGCCAAATATTATTCGGTAATGGCTTCTGTCCCTTACTGACAGTTTTGTCTACCCTTGGTTTATCACTTTATCAATTATAAAATTTTATGATACTATAATCTGTTTCTCATGTTATCTGTACCATTTAATTGACCTATATTTCTTTTTATGTATTTGTTTTCATTTCTGTTGTTTCATAATATGGTCTAATATCTGGTGGTGGAATACCCATAATCTTTTACTAAATATTTTGAGTTAATTTGGGGAAAACAAATTATGAATATGGAATATGTGATTAACATCTAATTTTATTATCTTTCTTTTATTTTTATCTAGCATCAGTGGATATCACTACCTGGGAATATCCAGATGTCTGCAGATATTATTTTGGCTCCTTTGGGCAGTGGTCAAGCCTCCTTTTCTCCTTGGTATCTCTCATTGGAGCAATGATAGTTTATTGGGTGCTTATGTCTAATTTCCTTTTTAATACTGGAAAGTTTATTTTTAGTAAGTATCCATATCATATGCTTTCACACAGTTACTTTCAGATACAATAACTACTAGAATGTTTTAATTTCAGCCTTAAATTCTAAACTTAGGATAAATCAAGTAAAAAATAGTATTTGTAATTTTGGAAAATATACTAGATTCAATTTGTTTTCTGTGGTTATGATCTCAAATATAATGTGTATGCTCATTTCCAAAAGCTAATTTTTGAATAAGTAATATTTTTTCTAATTCTCTAATATAAAATACTAAGTTCCAGCAGATATTTTAAGCATTGTTTCAATCTTGACCACAAAATTTTAGTATAACAGAGTTTATGAAGTTCATTGGTATTTGTTACTGAAGAGTTTGATGTGCAGAATCTCAGGGAAACAAATTTCAGTCATTTATTTTCAAAATAGTAGGGTTTAAAATTAAAAAACAGTAGAATAATGGAACTTAATGTGGTAAATATGTTATATACATACCACAGACTTCGTTGTGGGATAATGGTTGTACCCTTTAGTAATTTAAAGATGTTCCTGCCTGTTATTTTCTTAAGCGTTTTTATTAACGTGCTAGATTTTATCAAATACTTAATCTACGTCTCTTGAAATGGTCATAAGCTTTTCTCTTTCAAATTGTTAATATGGTGAATTAAATGAATACCTCTGCAATAGTTAAATCATTCTTATATTCCAGGAAAACTTAAAATAACTTATTAGTCATGCTATATATTTTTTAAATTTTTTACTGCATTCAGTTTACTTTTGGGAGGAGCAGAGCTAATATTTTATTTGGAATCTTTGTATCTTTTCATAAAAGATATCAACTTATAGTTTTTCTTTCTCATACTATCCTATCCTTGTTGAGCGTGGTGTGTTACAACTTCTGTAATAAATTACCATAACTGTTTGGCTTAAAACAAGAGAAACTTAATTCTTTCACAGTCCTGGAGACTAGAAGTCCAAAATCAAAGAGTCAGTAGAGCTCCATTCCCTCTGAAACCTTTAGGGAAGAGTCTTTCCTTGCCTCTTCCTAGCTTCTATGATTGATTGCTGGCTGTTCTTGGCATTCCTTGGCTGGTAACTGTATCACTCCAATTACTGCCTCTGTCTTCACATGGCCGTCTTCTCTCAGTGTATCTACCAATCCTTGAACATTGGGCCTACCCGAATCCAGTATGACCTCATCTTAACTTGATTATATCTGCAAAGCCCTATTTCCAACTAAGGTCACATTCGAAAGTTTCTGGTGGACACAATAGTGGGGAAACACTATTCAACCCAGCATATTTGGTATCTAGGCTTTACTAGCCTTATGTAAGTCTTGGCATCAGGAATTACATAAAGATTTATAACTTCTAATCTTAAGTCACTAATAACCTTTGGAGATACTATAAAAACCTAGAGCACTAAACTACTTCTTCTATTCTATTTTGAGAAGCATACAATGAAGGTGAATAATTCACATATTTTTACTTATTTTATGACTTTAAAATCTAATCCAACATTTTTCCCATCTCATTTGAGTTTTAATCAGACACTTTTATTAATGCTTATTAAGGTTATAAAAGGTTAACATCATACCAGTAAAGTAAATTCTCTTAGGCTAGCAAGAAAACACATCCTTTACCTATTCTCTCATTCACTATAGAATGATATGAATACTCAAGTATCTTCATACGCTTTTTACTTTGCTACTTCCTTTAGTATAACTTAGTGGTACTTGTGAGCAGTAATTACTATGTAGCCTTTGGTCTATAAAAGCATGTACTATACTTTGTAAAAACTTTAAATGAATTTGCAGATAAATATGGCCATTATAATGGTTTTACAGACTTTAGAAGTTTATGTAAGATGTTAAGTATACTTCTATAAATTAGTGAAAGTATAGGGGGAAAATTGTACACATTATCTTTATTCCAGGGCTTTTAACTAAATTCAGGTAGATTTTTTAAAATTCCTTAATCATGTAAAATTTTTCCACAAAGGGATTGTGAAGCCAATGACATTATTCCTGTCAGTAGAAAAAGCTAAAGAAGGTGAAGACATGTTAGCAATGGAGTAGTCTTGGTTCAGTGTATTAGCTACTGTTGCCACACAGAAGATCGTAAAAGATTTTTATAGCTAAGTCTTTAGAGGGTGATCAATTTAGTATGTTTCATTCCTCATTAAGCTGTATTTTTCCTTAATTTTTAGATTTTATTCATCACATTAATGACACAGATGCTGTACTGAGTACTAATGATAGCAACCCTGGTAAGTTGTTCAGAATTTAAAGTTTAACCTGTGTTTTATTCCCCACCTTGCTTCAAATGTTTTAAGGTAGGACCTGTGACTTTATTTTAGGTAAATGACTAGTGCAAAATCATTATTATATTAATGGGACACTATTGAATTGTTAGCAATCAGTGTGTTAAAAAAAAAACAAACAACTCCACAAAAGAGCGTGTTAATGTGAGCTAAATAATATTTAGTTCATATTATACAATTCACAATTGTAGCTCACATTTATAGTATCCATATTTGCCTATGAATAATCAATACATATTTTCAAGAACCTAGATCACTGCTCTTTGTTTTGGTCTAGAAGCATAGCTCTCAGTTTGTTAACTTAGTTTTAGACATTTATTGCTTTAGTTACTAATATTTAAGATACACAAATATGTATCCTTTAGAATAATAATTTCCTAGTAATGAACAGATATTAGTAAATATGAAAAAATAAATTGAAGTTTTGGCCCAAAAAATCTTAATTTTCTAAAGTATATAATGAACAGACAAAAGTTTCTCCTCTTGAAACATTCATTCCAGTGTTTGCTATCTATTGTCTTACTTTGTCCCTTAATTTAGCTATTTAACCTCTTTGTTAAGACTAGAAAATGAGTAAGCAAAGTATTAGCTTTTATTTCTGTGGGGACACACACACACACACACACACCCCTACCTTTGAATAATTATACTAAAACATTTTAGTACAATTTAAAAATATATCTTTTGCATCCTATCCCTTACTTCAGAATTTTCAAAGGACCAAATCACATCCTGCCTTAAAGAGAAATTCATTACTATAGCTATTCTGTTATCAATTGATGAAACTGGTTTATTAATATCCAGCAGGAAGTCAGTTCATTATTGAGTTCATACATATCACGATTGCACTGAAGATTTGTAGAGCACAACAGCAAAGTTAGTTTACTTTGCATAGTGATATCTTATGTTGATACTAGCCCTTTTTGATTATTCTTCTGTTTATTTTTACCAATGTGTTATATAGCAAGAGTATGAAACGATCCTTCTCAGTTAATACAAAAAATTATAGCTGACATTAATTAGATACTTACTGTGTGCAAACATTATTCTAAATGTTTTACAGCAACTCTGTAAGGTAGATACTGTTATCTTTCTAGATGTAGAAACCAACGCACATATAAGTTAGTGACCTGCCCAAGGTTGTATAACTATTAGGTGACAGAGTCGAGATTCATTTTGCAGCCAATTTACTTCCATAGCTTATGCTTTTTACCACTGTTATTAGCATGAGAAAAATTCAAGTTAATTTTCTTTGGTCCAGAGCATAGAAGAAAAAAGCATATGTTAAAATGCTGACTAAGAAAGAAGAAGAAAGAAATTGTTTGGCTTTGTGGCATGCCAAATAATGAAGACGGAATAAAATTAAAAACAGAACCTACAATCTATCTATCACTTTCACTTTGACTAGTGATGAGTATGATTGTTGCTCAGTGTGTTTTTCACCAGCATTAAGAGTTCTTTACAAAGAGCTATTTCTATTATGAAATTAGAAACATAGTTAGAACAATTTGTATTCTATCTACTTATAGAAGAAATTGCCACTTGTAGGTCAATGTTAGGAAAATACATTTTACTCACTTCCCAGTTCTCTGGATATCATCTGGGCTGTTAGGTTGCTCTACAGTGTGATGAGCTTCCAGGATAATTACTCTGGATTGCTGGAGTTCAGGATTCTTAAACTATAAGCAATAATTAGGTTTTGGCAATACCATGACAGTTGTTTCAGTGATATCCGCTTTTTATTCCAAACATATAGCTTTTGTTTATTGTTAGAGGGAACCTATTCTTTGACCCTTGTATGGGTTACTAGCATAACGTACATTACCCTGAATATATTTCTTATATTATTGTATACATAAGATTAAACACCAACCAGCCCAATATTTTCTCTCTGGCAATGGAACCAAAGGATTTTTGGTGGGATACTTTTATAGTTTCAAGTAGAAATTAAGGATATACCTCAAAACTTCCTAACATTCTTCATTTTTTAATTATTTATAGGTAAAAGGTTTCTAATATATCTAACTCTAACCCTCAATTTTTTCCAGAAAAGAGAAACTTAGTATTCATGGTAAAAGTTGAGGTTGATAGAGCAAGTGTCAGTCTCTGGAGGTTGTCATTTTCTGTTCTTTGTGGTTTTCTCTAATCTGATGCTTTCCTATTGCAGTGATTTGTCCAAGTGCTGGGAATGGCGGCCATCCTGACAATGGCTCTATGATTTTCTACGCCAATGACACGGGACTCCAACAGTTTGAAAAGTGGTGGAATAAGTCAAAGACAGTGCCCCTTTATCTCATAGGGCTCCTGCTGCCACTGCTCAATTTCAAATCCCCTTCATTTTTTTCAAAGTTTAATATCCTAGGTAAGCTGAGGCACTGTTTTATGGAGCCTCCGTGTAGTAGAATACCTGCTGGATTCTGTGGAAATATGTTCTGGCTGGAGAGAGAGTTACTTCCAGGCCTGTTCATCTATGTGTAATTTGTTCACTCATATGTTTTCTGTATAGAGTTTGGCACAGAAAAATGTATAGGTGACCATTCCAAGTCCAAATTCCTTTTAAGACAAGTCATTGAGTTTCCCATTCTATTCTTACTGAATAATTCTTCCTTATTTCCTCTGAGGCTATAGTAGAGAAATAGACTAAAATTTCAGGAGGAGAGATCTAAAATGGATATTATAGGAATTCTCAATTCTAATGATCAGAAACATTAGAACTTACTAAGGGAAGTTTTGGAATATTTTTTCCTGCAGTTTCTATTTAAGAGTATAGCACAGAATTATCACCTGACTTTCAACCTAGGATGTCATTCTCTAGCTCAAACTCCTAAAGTTTGTTCTGCTTTTGCTCTCCTCCTCAATGCTTATTCTTCCTTGGAATGCTATTATTGCCTCCTTAAAGGAACATACTTCTTTCTGTGAACCATATTTTTCAGAAATTTCTGAAATCACTGAAAAATTTTCAGAAATTTCTGAATCACTAAAGAAATATTTTGACCATATCTTAAGATGGCAAAAGGAATCCCCAATGAAAGCTCAGATCTGGTTAACTAAAGGCAAGGATATCATTCATAAAGAATTGATAACCCCAAATAGAGCATAGGATTTCATTTTCTCCCTGTAGATCTGTTCTCCTGGTAGGCAACCTAGAGTGTAAAATAATTAGATTACTCATCACGCACGTCAAGGAGGTGGCTTTTGGGTTTCCAGAAGACCAAAGGAGGAGATGAGGTTATTTATCTATACCTTTTGCTTCACAACAGGACTCACTGTAAGACTGCCACAGACACACACAGAAAATGAAGAGTTGTGGTTATATAAGCTTTGGCCTCTTGTTTTCATTCTTTCTGAATCAGCTCATCTCCAAGCCTGCAGCAGAGTTTATGTGGCTCATTTGTGGTTTCCTGATTTGCTTGCCGACTTTCCTATGGAAAGTTAGCATATAAACTTACAGAAGAATTTGCTCAATTGGGCAAAACAATCAATCACAGGACTTCTAACAAGGTTGATTATTCTCTACTTCCTTAAGGATATTCTACTCTTGCCCTTTTTCTTTGTGCTTTCCCTTTCTTTTAAACCTACAGCTTCTTTAGAGAAATTAGCATCTAATTCTTCTAGAAACCTTCTTGGACTCAACTCCATAATGACCGGACTTAGAATAATCCTGTAACTTCTAGACTACTAAAAAATTCTGAATGCCCACTTTACCCCGTGTATAATACGTGTGAATGGAATCTGGAATCTCCATTTAGCAAGTAGTACTACCCAATCAGAACCTCATCTAGATAATAGATCAGATTGTTCATGGATTATTTGGCTTATCACTAAATAGGTTTATAATCCTCCACATTCACTCTTTACTTTCTTATCATTGTACATTAAATCTTGTGACAGACTTTTCCATCTTATTAACCATTTCTAATAGTTCCAATAGAGTAAAAGCCAGTTTCATGTTGTCCTTTTTTCTCCTATGTAAACTAAGAGTTTTCTAATGGACTCTGCATGTATCCTCCACTAAATTCAGCTCATATGTAAATTAGGCAGTTTTGCGTTCAGCAACATATGAACTACATTCATCTGATTCTTCTTAGGCCTACTACATGGTTTTTCGCTTTATTTTCTGGTAACTCAAATAGCTTGTTTCTGTTCCTTAGATCCCACCTGGGTTTTAGTGGGCATAATAAATGGAGTTAATAATATTCCAGTCTTTGCTGAGAAAAGTAGAAACAAAGCTTGATTTTAAAATAGTCTGTAAAAATATAAAAATGATGAATAGTTTCTGAATTTTTTCTCACAGGCACAGTGTCCGTTGTCTATTTGATTTTCCTTGTCACCTTGAAGGCTATTCGCCTGGGATTTCATTTGGAATTTCACTGGTTTACGCCAACAGAATTTTTTGTACCAGGTGAGCTTTTGGGGACAAAGGAAGAATTAATAACAATAATATGATCTTTAAGTTAACTATTTTGAACTATTGCTATTCTAACACAAGTAATGTTATTTTTTATGATGAGCATTTCTATTAATGCAGTTAAGCTAAATTACAGGTGAAATTACTCTGGTTCTCTTGCAGTGAGGGGTAACCAGGGCCCTTTTATAACCAGGGTCATTTCTACATGGGAGATGAAGTTCATTGAAGTTACAGTGCAATTGAAAAAGAATACGTTCTCTAGACTTTTCTGAGAAAACATACCCCTAGAATTTCAGAGATTTAATGCATGGTCAGTGGTTAATATTCTTGTTTTTCAGGCTACTTAAGATGGTGATATTGAGTTTACCCTCCCTCCTTTTTTTTCTCATGGTTATACCATGGCAATTTCTTACATTTCACCCGAATTTAGAAGATTTGGGACACGATAAAAGCACCATAAAACAATGAATGGATAATGCTAAACGAGGAGACAGCTTGGAAAATGAAAGTGACTGTTACACTAGTATCTTGAAAACTATTAAGGAGAAAATAGTACAAAATTCTGCTGTTGATTTAGCAATACTGCTTTCTTTCCATTCTTCAACTGTTAATTCACACAGTCTAAAATTTCAAGTCTATATTCAGTATCTGATGTTACTCTCTAAAGTCTGAAATTATAATTGTCTCTGACTCCTTTTGTTTCTTTTATTATTACATTTCTGGGTTTTCTAGGTGTACTAAGTTGGTAGTCATTGAAAGCTATTGTTTAAGTTACCATAGTTATTTGTTTTCAAATCATCTGGCTGCATTAGCTTTGAGTTTTTATTTCTATTAGAAGTCTACAAAGACTAAACGGAACTACTGGGACTTGAAAAGCATCCTCTCTCCCAGCTTGAATTTAAAATTGGACACTGATGAAAAGGGCAACTTTAAGCTAGTTTTTCCATTGATTGATAAAAATAGGCTAGGATATTATTTCCTAAAATTAGATCTGTATTGATTTATTTTAAGATTCTTAGTGATAAAAGTTTCTGCTAATGATAAGACATGAGAGATAAATATGAGAGAAAAAGAGAGTAAAAACAGTTGTTTAGAAAATGAAAAAGAGAACATTTAAATAGTTAATAAGTCATTTATTTCACTTCATTTATAAATAACATGAAGGGAGAATCATGAGGACTAAAAGAGACTTGTGTTACAATCCTGAAATAAATTGCTTTATTGTGATAAGAATTTCTCAAGAATGAGAGTATGTCGTAAATCTTTTTCAGTAAAGGCTAATTAAGAATGAAAATGAAACGGAAAAGGAAAAAAGAAAAAAAGGAACTTGAAGGGGAAAGAAAGTGAGAGGAAACAAAAGAAAACTTCCAAAAAGTTATATCCTCAAAGTGACAAAAGATAGCGACAGCTGCATGAAACAATATTTGGGTGTTGGAAGGAAAGAAGGAGGGAAGGAAGGAAAGAAGGAGGGAAAGAAGGAAAGAAGGAGGGAGTTTGGTCCTGGAAATCAAAAATATAATAGAAATAAGAATTGAAAGAAAATTTGGAAGATAAAGCTAACTTCCCAAAAAGTAGACTAAAAATTATGGATGGTTGTACGGATAGAAGGAAAGAGGGAAGAGAGGGAGGGAGGGAGATAAGAAAGAAAGAAAGGAGAATAAAGATAAGAAAATTATAGCATTAATTCAGGTGGCCCAATATCTAACTAAAAATAGTTCCATAGAGAAGAGAAAAACTGAAGGAGATAAAATTTTCAAAGAACTAATTTAAGCAATGTCTCCCAAACTGAAGAACGTGAGTTTCCAGATATAAAAGGGCTCCAGTGCCCAGCACTGTGAATAAGACCCACACCAGGTCATATCATCATAAAATTTAAGAACACCAAGGATGAACAGAAGGCCCTGAAAGATTCCAGGGACAAAGAACAGGTCTATAGAAAAGGTCTGGATAAAATAGTATCAGCCTTCTTAATAACTCTGAAAGCTAGAAGACAGTGGAAGTGTCATCAAAGTCTCAGAATAAGTTATTTTAACCTAAAATTCTAAAATCCCACTATATTCTCATTCAAGTGTTAGAGTACAATAAAGATATTTTTGGAAAGTAAAGTCTCACAAAATTTTACCCTCCATGCACTCTTTCTGAGGGGGAAAAAAAAAAAGCTGCAAAATATGCTCCACTGAAAGAAGGAAGTAAATTAAGAAATTTCCAGAATGATGGTGACGGGAGATCCTAGGAAATAGCTGTGCAACAGGACTAGAAAGCAACCAGCCCAGATTATAGCAGGTGGACAGATAGCCCCAGGAGGTATATTTCCCAACAAAAATGTAAAATGGAAAAGATTATTTTATGTGTCATATAGAAAGAGTGGAATTTTACCATTATTTTGGAGAGTTTGGGGAAGAATTAGCATTCACTAGAAAATTTAGCAACCGTAAAGGAAAAAGTCAATGATTACCTCTGAAAAAACAGATCAACAAAAGCATTTTTATATAAAAAAGAAAATGTAATAATAATACATTCCATGGTCTAACTATGAATAATATGTAATTATCATAAAAATTAAAACATTGAATATCGATTTTGTATAATTAAAATTATGATTATATAGGGGAATAGGAGATGGAAAAGTGTAAGTGGTGGTAGTGATGGAAAATCAATGGATTATGTCTAAAATTTAAAAACAAAGGAAAAAATATGTGTATTTCTTAAAAATAAGCTAGATTATAAATTTAAAATATACTAAATAGAAGAGTTAGAATTAGTTGCCTCTGGGAAACAGGATTCAGGATGGGAGTTATGAAGCAAGAGATTCCTGATTTTTATTAGAATTCTTTTAATAAAATTTAACTTTCAACAATGAGTACATTACAATAGCCAAGATATGAAGGTAACCTGAGTGTCCATAGATGGATGAATGGATAAAGAAGAGTTGGTACATATATACAATAGAATATTACTCAGCCATAAAAAAAGAATAATATCTTGCCATCTGCAACAACATGAATGGACCTAGAGGGTATTGTGCTGAGTGGAATAAGAAAGAGAAAAACAAATGCCATATGATTTCACTTATATGTGAAATCTAAAGAACAAAATAAAGAAACAAACTCATAGATAGAGAGAACATTTTGATGGTTGCCAGATTGAAGGGGGTTAGGGGAAGAATGAAAAAGAAGGGATTAGGAAGTACAAATTGATAGTTATAAAATAGTCACGGGGATGTAAAGGATAGCACAGGGAATATAGTCAATAATATTGTAGCAACTGTATATGGTGTCAGATGGATACTAGATTTATTGGGATGATCACTTCATAAGTTATATAAATGTCTAATCACTATGTTGTACACCTGAAAGTAATACAATAAATTGTATATCATCTGTAATTGAAAAATTTAAAAATTAGAATTAAAAAGAAAGAAAACACTGCTTACTGCAAAATTTCACAATGTTTAGAATAAGACATTTAAGAGAAAAAATTACTACACATTTAAGACTGCAATTAAGATTATATTTTTAAAATGAAAAACTATTAGATGCTTTGAAATTGACTTCAAAGAGACTTCAGACACTGATTTTAAAGAATTATGGGGTGATTTGCCATTTGAGTGCAGCATTGTGTTCATTTGCAACCAGAAAAAATAATTTTCTAACCACGGATGCTTTAAATAGTTTTATTATTCACTTTCCATTAGGAGCAGACTACTTTTTGCCACTCACTCATTGATATTTAATGCCTCTAAATATAATGGAATTTCTCTTTTCTTATTTTTATGTATTTGTCCCACCTTTTTTTGTTTTTGATTTTGAACTTTTTATTGAAGTGTAACATATATATATACAAGTGCACAGCTCAGAAATGTACAGCTTGATTAATTTTCATAATCTGAACACACCAGATATCTAACACCCAGATCAAAAACAGAAATTACTAGCACTCCAGAAGCACCTCTTATTCCCCCTACCAATCATTATCTACCTGCAAAGATAACCACTGTTCTAACTTCTAAATGTTGGTTAGTTTTGCTGGCTTTTTTTTTTTTTTAACTTAATATGAATGGAATATATGGTACACATTATTTTCTGTCTGGCTTCTTTTTATCAGCATTGTGTTGTAATAATGATCCATATCATTGTTTGTATTTGTAGTTCATTCATTTTCATTGGTATTTCATTGTGTAACTATACCACAATTTGTTTACCTTTTACTGTTAAGGTACATTTGAATAGTCTCCAGTTTTTATTATTATGTTTATCACAGCACTCTTTATTCTCATACATATCTTTTAGTGAGCTTTCTCATATGTATAAATCTAGGCGTGGAACTGCTAGGTCAAAGGATATGAATGTATTCTACTTTAGTAGATATTGCCAAACAGCTTTCCAAAATGGTTGTACCAATTTACATTTCTACTTGCAGTTGAGTTTACTAGTTGCTCACATCTTCACCAACATTTGTATTTTCTATCTTTTTAATCTAGCCTTTCTGGTGGATATGTAGTAGTATCATGGTTAATTCACATTTCTCTGATGGCTAATAAAGTTAGCACCTTTTTATGTGTTCATTGGCTATTTGGATTACCTCCTTTGTCAAGTGCCTCTTTAAGTCTTTTGTCTATTTTTCTATTTTTTATTGATTTATAAGCATTCCTTATTCATTCTAGATACACATCCTTAGTCAGATTAATGTATTACAATTATCTCCTCCCCCTCTGTTTACTTCCTTTCTTAATATGCCTTCTCAAAGGAATAAAGTAGGCAGCTTGAAAATTATCAGAAATTTGGTGCTTCTTTAAAACCACTTTGTCAAAGAATCTGTCTTCTTTAATTTACTATGCAGTGATCATTGTGTAAATGTCTGGGTTTTTTATAAAGGCATATTTTCCATTAAAAAATTTTACATGTATGTTCACAGCAGCATTATTTGTTTATAATAGCCAAAAAGTGGAAACAGCCCAATGTCCATCACTGATGAATGCATGAATAAATATGGTA